CCTGGGTTTAAGTGATTCTTCTGCCTCAGCCTCCCAAGTAGCTGGGACCACAGGTGCATGCCACTACACCCAGCTAATTTTTGAATTTTTAGTAGAGACGGGGTTTCACCATGGCCAGGATGGTCTTGATCTCTTGACCTCATGATCCTCCTGCCTCGGCCTCCCAAAGTGTTGGAATTGCAGGCGTGAGCCACCGCACCCGGCAGTTTTTTTTTTTTAAATTGCAAATTAGCTGGGCATATTGGCTCATGCCTATACAGTAATCCCAACACTTTGGGAGGCCAAGGCAAGCAGATTGCTTGAGGACAGGAGTTCGAGACCAATATGAACAACACAATGAAACCCTCGTCTCTACTAAAAAATTCAAAAATTACCTGGGCATGGTGTCGTGCACCTATAGTCCTAGCTACTCATAAAGCTGAGCTGGAAGGATCACTTGAGCCCAGGAGGCGGACGTTGCACTGAGCTGAGATCAGATTACACCACTGCACTCGAACCTGAGTGACGGAGTAAGACTCAAAAAAAAAGTATAGGCCAGGCACAGTGGCTCACACATATAATCCTAGCACTTTGGGAGGCCAAGGCAGGCAGATCACTTGAGGTTGGGAGTTTGAGACCAGCCTGACCTGCAAGGAGAAACCTCATCTCTGCTAAAAATACAAAATTAGCTGTGCGTGGTGGTGCATGCCTGTAATCCCAGCTACTCAGGAGGCTGAGGCAGGAGAATCACTTGAACTCAGGAGGAGGAGGTGGAGGTTGCAGTGAGCCAAGATCGTGTACTCCAGAACTGGGCAACAAGAGAGAAACACCGTCTCCAAAAATATATATATATATAAATGTTGATAACAGGTAACCACAGATGAAGAGAATGAAGTTGGGAGTATAAATCAACCAATCATCTTAAAATTCTTTGTCTTAAACTAGGAAAGCTAAAACCATGGGGGCACTCTAAAGAAAATAATTATCTGAATGGGCATGTCAACAGAATTGATTTCCACAAGAAAACATACAAACAACCCCGTCTCCAGACAAAGTAAGTACCTAATTACACAGCTTTATGATTATTTTAATTTCAAAAGCAGCACCTCAGAGGTACAGAGGCTCAGTAATAGTGGTGTTTTTTGTTTTTTTTGTTTTTTTGGTTTTTTGGTTTTTTTTTTTGAGACGGAGTTTCACTCTTGTTACCCAGGCTGGAGTGCAATGGCGCGATCTCGGCTCACCGCAACCTCCGCCTCCTGAGTAGCTGGGATTACAGGCACGCACCACCATGCCCAGCTAATTTTTTGTATTTTTAGTAGAGACGGGGTTTCACCATGTTGACCAGGATGGTCTCGATCTCTTGACCTCGTGATCCACCCGCCTCGGCCTCCCAAAGTGCTGGGATTACAGGCTTGAGCCACCGCGCCCGGCCAATAGTGGTGTTTTAAGAGGAGATTAGAAGTGATATCATGTATAGAACTTTCTAAGTACATATGCGTAGGTCCCAGTGTAATGGACTCCAAAGCAGCAGGTTTGGGGTGAGGCCCAAGCACCTGCATTGTTTCCAAGGTTCTACAGGTGATTCAGAAGGAGACCCAGATTCAGAGCACTGCTCTTGCATGACTTGTCTGCCTAAACACAGTGCACATGGTTATCTCTCCAGATACCAATGTCCAACAGCTTAGGGCACCTATGTATCCGGATAGACATAAATTCCTCACTCCTAAGGAAACCAGACTTACAAAGCATCAAGGCCCTTTAAAGAGGAAAAACCCAGGATGGTCCTTAGAGGCTTCCTTCTGCATGAAAACCAGGTTAAAGCCAGAGCTCATCCTGCATTGCAGCAAGTCATAGTTGGGTCCCGATTCCCTGCCTGGACCCTCCTGACACAGGGTTACCTATCATTTGATTGGTGCCTATACCCAACTGCCACCAAGGCCTTTGCTCACTGTTATTAAGACTCGTTAACATAATCCTGGGCTTTTTTTTTTCTTTTTCTTTTTTTTTTTTTTTTTTTTTTTTGAGACGGAGTTTCGCTCTTGTTACCCAGGCTGGAGTGCAATGGCGCGATCTCGGCTCACCGCAACCTCCGCCTCCTGAGTTCAGGCAATTCTCCTGCCTCAGCCTCCTGAGTAGCTGGGACTACAGACACGCGCCACCATGCCCAGCTAATTTTTTTGTATTTTTAGTAGAGACGGGGTTTCACCGTTGTTGACTAGGATGGTCTCGATCTCTTGACCTTGTGATCCACCCGCCTCGGCCTCCCAAAGTGCTGGGATTACAGGCTTGAGCCACCGTGCCCAGCCCTCTTTTTCTTTTTCTTTTTTGTCTAATCCTCTGAGAGAAAAGCATTATGGCTAACTCAGACCCTGGTTCTAGTTCTATTCCTTTCACTATACTATGTGATTTTCAGCTTGATCTTTGACTTTGATTTCTAGGTGTAGACATTTCACATTTAAAACAAACTTTTTTTTTTTTTTTTTTTTTATCTTAGAGACAGGGTCTGGCCGGGCGCGGTGGCTCACGCTTGTAATCCCAGCACTTTGGGAGGCCGAGGCGGGTGGATCACGAGGTCAAGAGATTGAGACCATCCTGGTCAACATGGTGAAACCCCGTCTCTACTAAAACCACAAAAAATTAGCTGGGCATGGTGGCATGTGCTTGTAATCCCAGCTACTCAGGAGGCTGAGACAGGAGAATTGCTTGAACCCAGGAGGCGGAGGTTGCGGTGAGCCGAGATCACGCCATTGCACTCCAGCCTGGGTAACAAGAGCGAAACTCTGTCTCCAAAACAAAAAAAAGAGACAGGGTCTTACTTTTTGTCACCCAGGCTATAGTACAATGGCATGATCATAGCTTACTGCCTCCTTGAACTCCTGGGCAAGTGATCCTCCCACCATGGCCTCCTAAAATGCTGGGATTATAGGTGTAAGCCACTGCATCCATCCTAAACCAAATTGTAAAATAATAGGAGTTGGATTCAATCACCAAGGTGACTTCTGACTACAATTCCATGCATGATTTTATTGTTTGTGTTTTTTTGTTTGTTTGGTTTGGTTTTTTTTTTTTTTGAGTCTTGCTCTGTCACCCAAGCTGGAGTGCAATGGCGCCATCTTGGCACACTGCAACCTTGGCCTCCCGGGTTCAAGTGATTCTCCTGCCTCAGCCTCCCCAGTAGCTGGGTTTATAGGCATCAGCCATTATACTGTCTTCTTGTTGTTGTTGTTTTGGTTTGTTTTTAAGACAGAGTCTCTGTTGCCCAGGCTGTAGTGCTAAGGCGAGATCTTACCTCACTGCAATCCCTGCCTCCCTGGTTCAAGCAATTCTCCTGCCTCCGCCTCTCTAGTAGCTGAGATTACAGGCACCCACCACCATGCCTAGCTAATTTTTTGTATTTTTAGTAGAGATGTGATATCACTGTGTTAGCCAGGATGGTCTCGATCTCTTGACCTCGTGATCCATCTGCCTCAGCCTCACAAAGCGCTGGGATTACAGGCGTGAGCCACCACACCTGGCCTCCATGCCTGATTTTAGAGTGCCCTGTTAGCAAAAAGGAAAATACCAGTTTCTAGACCTTTAAAACAACGACAAACAGGTGTCAGAAACACTGGGCAGAGCATAGTGCCCTGTTAGAGTCTGTTTTACACAAGTATGCTGGATATCATTGCTTAAAAGTTTTGGTGTTAGTCCAACAACAGTCGCTTTAAAGTGTCTGTTGTGGAGCCTCACTAGAGCTTAATGTGTGACCTGTCCCTCTCAGGGAAGAGCAACGGAAGAAACATGAGCAAGAACGAAAGGAGAAGAAAGCAAAGCTTTTGGGAGTGCGAAGGGGCCTCAGTTTGGCTGAAGATTAGTAATTTTTTAACATCTTGTAAATATTTCTGTATTCTCAATTATTTTTCCTTTTGTAAATTTTTTTTTTTTTTGCATTCTTCCCCACTTTAGTCATGAGATCTTTTTCTGCTAACTGTTCATATTCTATGTCGCGTCCATGGGTTCTTCATGTGCTACAATCTCTGAAAAGACATTATCACACTAAAGCTCAAATTCTTTGGGATGGTTTTTGCTTAAGTCCCTATACAGTTCAGTTTTCTAATGAGACCCTTCCTAAGATTCTGGTCCTAGATTTTTAAAGTCAAGTTCCCCTGCTGGTTCTAGTATGAACAGAACTGCAGTCTTCTGCTAGGCAATAGCATTTACCTGTTGGCAGCTAATTATACAAGTTTCAGTAGAAATTGAACAATAACAAGAGTAGGGTAAGCTAGGGTAGAAAGGCCACGTCTTCACTCTCTAGTCTATAGAATATAGTACACTTTATGAAATGGGGCCATATGGTTTGGTTATTACATCAATATTTTATCTAGATGAAATTGTTTAGGCTCATATCCACCTTTGTTGAAATAGCCTCCTGTAATTACCATCTGTCACTCACTATATTTGCAAAAGTAAAACTCTCTGTAACTCATTCTAATGTTGCTGACTTAAAATAAAAGCTACATAGCCCTATCAAAATGTGAGGATTAATGTTCCACCAAACCTACTTCTTATTTATTTTATGGAAAAGACTAGACTTTGCTTAGTATCATGTCCATATTTCTTTCACCTCAGTGGAGCATCTGAGTTGTATACTGCTGAAGATTGTTGTCAATAACATTTTTTCTCATTGTGGTAGATGAATTCTTTGTAAACATAAGTCTTCCAAGATTTAGTTGGCTAGCTAGGCTTAACAAGAGTTTATACATAGCCTTTGTATGCCCTTTACTGGCCACTGCTTCCACTCCCAAAAGAAACAGCTATATGCTTTGTTTATATTTCCACAGCACTCTTCAGGTTTTATTAAATGCTGTTTTGAATGTACAAGGCTTTAGGACATGTCACACTCCTGGGTACTGGAAACATTCAGATTTTCCTATCAAGGGGAAGAGATCAGATCAGTCAAAAAAATTCAGGGCCAAATACACATCTGATGGAAATGTAAAATGTTACAACCACTTTGGAAAACAGTTTGCTGGTTTGTTTGAAAAGTTAACAGTACATCTACTGTGTAATCTAGCCATGCCACTAGGTAGTGAGACCTTATCTGAAAAAGAAAGAAAAAAAAAACATGATTTTTTTTTTTGATTGCTTAACTGATTTTAATAACATGACATAAAGTCCCTAGACTTGATATAATTGTTATGCAAAATACATAGGTGAATACTGTCTTCTTTTAAAAATATAAAATAAATAAGCAAGACGTGAAAATAGGCAAGTTTCCATTAAATAAATGAAAATTTTAAAAAAAGACAGTTTTGCTTTCCATGTCGTTTGAAGGGAAATTATCATTTTAAACAATATTCAAGTTTATTAAACAAATGAAAAAAGTATTATAAAATGTTTAACTTTCATCAGCTTAAAGGTTTATGTTCCTCCCAAATTTTGCATACAACTGAACTTTCAAATCTGCTAACACCCGCTGAATTGATTCCACTCTGGATTCTAAGGCTTCAATTTCTTCTTGTAAATTTTTCTTTGCTTCTTATAACATTTCTTGTGTTTCTTCTTGAGAAGGGCTAATGAAAACATCAGCAATTTGATAAGGTATCATTAAGCAGTCATCTGCAAACATGATGTCATCACAAGCATCTTCTAGGTTTTGGAGTTCTTTTTTTACTTCTATTTCTTCCTTCAGCTCTGTGACTCTACTTGTATTCCGTGCAAATTTATCTTTTGTTGATCTTCGAAAGTAACATTGATATCTTCTGCAGCTGCCTTCTTCGTGGTGGCCGCCATCTTGGGACTGGACTCAAAAACATGATCTTAAATAGAGAAAATCCTAAGGGCATCACTAAAAAGCTCCTAGAGGCCAGGTGCAGTGGCTCAAGCCTGTAATCCCAGCACTTTGGGAGGCCGAGGCGGGTGGATCACGAGGTCAAGAGATCGAGACCATCCTGGTCAACATGGTGAAACCCCGTCTCTACTAAAAATACAAAAAATTAGCTGGGCATGCTGGTGCGTGCCTGTAATCCCAGCTACTCAGGAGGCTGAGGCAGGAGAATTGCCTGAACCCAGGAGGCGGAGGTTGCGGTGAGCCGAGATCGCGCCATTGCACTCCAGGCTGGGTAACTTGAGTGAAACTCCGTCTCAAAAACAAAAAAAAAGAAAGCTCCAGCCTGGGTAACATGAGTGAAACTCCGTCTCAAAAAAAAAAAGAAAGCTCCTAGAATTAATAAATTGAGTAAGGTTGAAGCATATAAGATCAATACCCAACAATTCCAGCCAGGCACAGTGCCTCGTACCTGTAATCCCAGCACTTTAGGAGGTCAAGGCAGGCAGCAGATCACTTGAAGTCAGGAGTTGGAGACCAGCCTGGCCAACATGGTGAAACACCATCTCTACTAAAAATACAAAAATTACCGTGGTGGCAGGTGCCTGTAATCCCAGCTACTCAGGAGACTGAGACAAGAGAATCACTTGAACCCAGGAGTTGGAGGTTGCAGTGAGCAGAGATCATGCTATCGCACTCCAGCCAGGGCAACAGAGACTCCATCTCAAAAAAAAAAAAAAAAAAAAAAAATCAATATACAACAATTATATTTTTGTCTTTTGTTTTTGAGGCGAGTCTATCTCTGTCGCCAGGCTAGAGTGCAGTGGCACAATCTCTGCACACTGCAACCTCCACCTCCCCTGGAGATCAGGCTATCCTCATGTCTCGGCATTCCAAGTAGCTGGGATTACGGGCATGCACCACAATACCCAGCTAATTTTTATATTTTTATTAGAAATGGGGTTTCACCATGCTGGCCAGGCTGGCCTCAGCCTCCCAAAGTGCTGGGATTACACCACTCCCAGCCCTTAACTATTATTTTTTGTTTTTTTGTGTTTTTTAAATGGAGTCTCACTCTGTCACCAGGCTGGAGTGCAGTGGCACAATCTCAGGTCACTGCAACCTCCGTCTCCTGGGTTCAAGTGATTCTCCTGCCTCAGCCTCCCAAGTAGCTGGGAGTACAGGCAGGCGCCACCATGCCTGGCTAATTTTTGTATTTTTGGTAGAGATTGGGTTTCGCCATGTTGGCCAGAATGGTCTCAATCTCTTGACCTAGTGATCCGCCCACCTGGGCCTCCCAAAGTGCTGGGATTTCAGGCATGAGCCATGGCGCCCGGCCTAATTATTGTTTTTTCAGAGACACAGTATTGCTGTGTCATCCAGGCTGGAGTACAGTGGTAAGATCATAGCTCACTGTAGGGCCCAGGGGTCCCTCCTGAGGGAATGTGTTCTCTTTCCGGGTCCACAAGGGGGCATAATTTTAGGGGCAAGAACTTCCCAGTGCCATGCCCCACTCCCATCTCTCCATCCAGAAGATTTAAAGGTCTCTGTTTTAATTTTCGCGGCTGCGGGAAGAATCAAGTCAATCACTCCATCGGAAGTTCTAAAGAACTCCTTTCATTGGCCAGAGATCTTGGGAAGGTGGGGGTTCCTCCTAGGTTAAAAGTCCCCTTCTTCCACACCCCTTCGGACTCAATGTTTGGATTCCCCTCCCCCGCCTTTATGTGGAAGTTTTATTCCTTTTTTTCTCGTTCTCTACCTAAAATAAAATCACTTTTCTGCAACACTGTTTGGGGTCCAGTATTTCCTTTGTGAGCACACCTGGTCCCTTCTCTTATTCTTGAGAGAGCAGGAGACCAAGAACCTTGGAGAAACGTCCTCTGAGAGGACCTAAGGGCTCCCCTGAACCTCAGCACTCCTACTACAGCCTCCCAAGTAGCTGAGTCTCCAGGTGTGTGCTACTACACCTGGCTCATTTTTAATTTTTAATTTTTTTTTTTTTTTAGAGACAGGGTCTCACTATGTTGCCCAGGCTGGTCTCAAACTCCTAGGCAAGTGATCCTCCCACCTCAGCCTCCCAAAAGGCTAGGATTACAGGTGTGAACCACTGTGCTTGGCCCCAATATTTCCATATACTAGCAATGACTAATAAAAAAATGAAATTAAGGAAATTGCATGTACAAGAGTACCAAAGAGCATAAAGTAATTTAAGCTGGCACAGTGGCTGATGCCTATAATCCCAGCACTTGGGAAGGCCATGTGAAACCCTGTGTCTACTAAAAATATAAAAATTTAGTTGTGGTGGTAGGCATCTGTAATCCCACCTACTTGGGAGGCTGAGGCACGAGAATCGCTTGAACCTGGTAGGAAGAGTTTACAGTAAGCCGAGATCATGCCATTGTACTTCAGCCTGGACAACAGAGCGAGACCCTATCGCAAAAAAAAATTTAATGAAATTTAAAATTGTGGCCACGCATGGTGACACACCTATAATCCCAGCACTTTGGGAGGCCAAGGTGGGCAGATCATTAGGTCAGGACAATCCTCACCATGGTGAAACCCCATCTTCATGAAAAATACAAAAACTAGCTGGGCTTGGTGGTGCATGCCCGTAATCCCTGCTACTCAGGAGGCTGAGGCAAGAGAATCACTTGAACCTGGGAGGCAGAGGTTACGGTGAGCTGAGATTGCGCCACTACACTCCAGTCTGGGCAACAGAGGAAGACTCCGTCTCAAAAAAACAAACAAAAAACAGCATATAGAAATAAGCTCTAACGGTTGTTTTGTTTTTTTTTTTTAAACCACTAGACCTCCAGGGAGGTTTTATTTTTTAACAAAGATGCCAACACTATTCAATGGAGCAATAGTCTTTTCACCAAATGATACTGAGACAACTGGATACTCAGATGCAAAAAATGAATTTGGACCTTTATACCATATACAAAAGTTAAAATTGGCCGGGCACGGTGGCTCAAGCCTGTAATCCCAGCACTGTGGGAGGCCAAGGTGGGTGGATCACGAGGTCAAGAGATCGAGACCATCCTGGTCAACATGGTGAAACCCCGTCTCTACTAAAACTACAAAAAATTAGCTGGGCATGGTGGCGCGTGCCTGTAATCCCAGCGACTCAGGAGGCTGGGGCAGGAGAATTGCCTGAACCTGGGAGGCGGAGGTTGTGGTGAGCCGAGATCGCGCCATTGCACTCCAGCCTGGGTAACAAGAGCGAAACTCCGTCTCAAAAAAAAAAAAAAAAAAAAAAAGTTAAAATTGATCACAGGGCTGAGCACAGTGTGGCGTATGCCTATTGTCCCAGATACTTGAAAGGCTAAAGTGGGAGGATCACTTTAACCAATTCAGAGTTCGTGTTGCATTATGAGTACTCCTGTGAATAGCCCTTGCACTCCAGCCTGAGCAACACAGCAAGATCCCATCTCTTAAAAAAAAAATTCACGGCCGGGCGCAGTGGCTCATGCTTGTAATCCCAGAACCTTGGGAGGCGGAGTTGGGTGGATCATTTGAGGTCAGGAGTTTGAGACCAGCCTCACCAACATGGTGAAGCTCCATCTCCACTGAAAATACAAAAAATTAGCCAGGCATGGTAACACTTGCCTGTAATCCCAAGTACTTGGGAGGCTGAGGCAGAAGAATCACTTGAACCTGGGAGGTGTAGGTTGCAATGAGCCGAGATTAGGCCATTGCACTCCAACCTGGGAACAAGAGTGAAATGCAGTCTTAAAAATCAGGCAGGGGCCGGGCGCGGTGGCTCAAGCCTGTAATCCCAGCACTTTGGGAGGCCGAGGCAGGTGAATCACGAGGTCAAGAGATCGAGACCATGGTCAACATGGTGAAACCCCGTCTCTA